TTAGCAAGAGCAGATTTAAACAGACATAATTTCTATGTCACTTAAGGTAACAGATGGATGGCTAATACATAAAGACAACTCAATCTCTCTAAAATCTACGATGGATTGTCAGCTGCCTATGCACTGTTTACACTTCTCGTGTATGTCATCCTTAAGAAAAACATGAATAATTGGCAGATGCTATAAAAAACATACAAGAGAATTATTTTAGGCCTTTATTATTCGTTGTATGGGCGACCAATGTGTCCGCACATCTGTCTTTTACCTGAGCTGCCAAGGGAATCGTTTTTACAGTCTTGTGCAGTTTTGGGAAGTACTTAAAGTACATTGTACTTAAAGTACTACTTCAAGTAGGTTTAGAAAACTTGTACCTTACTTGAAGTATATTATATGAGTCTGTACTTGTACTTAAACTATTTTTTTCTGGTTATTTCTGAGGAAAGTACAATTCTCAACTTTAAAGTACATTCCCCAAATTTAATTTTGTTAAATTAGTATTACGAAATGATGCTTTGTTAACTCCAAAGAAATACTGGGAGGGATATTCTACTTTTTCCAGAAACGTGAGTAGACGATGCATCGCTTCGTGTGTTCTGGGAGCGGCTTTCCCATAGGTTTTTGAACTCTCGCTACTTCTCGGTTGGTCAGTGCAAGCGAGGAGGTTTAAAATATTAGGCGAGCAAAATTAATCATAATGTAGCACCTTAGACTGTGGTGCGGGAATATTAAACTTTCGAGTCGAAGAAAAAGACAACGGAGGAGAACGTCAAAATGTTATGAGACATTCTCTTTTGTCTTTTCCTTCGACTTGAAAATTTCTTAATTTTTTCGCACCCCAATCTTGGGTGTCTTATTATGATTAATTATCACCAGCTCGCTTGCACACTCACTGTTTGTTTTCTTTTTGTCATTAAAAAGAGGACACTCCTCTGTGAGAGGATTGCTTGCGGAAGCTACAGGGGTGACGTCATGCTCTCTCCTAGTACATTTAACTCCCTTGGGTGCAAAAATCCAGTGCAAGAAAATCAAGTGATTTTCAGGAATTTGGCTCAATTCCTGAAAATAAGTACTCTGTGGCCACTTTATCAAATATTCGCCGCTGTTCTTGAAAATAGGTCATGCAGCCCTGATTACCCCTGGGCAATGCATACCAGTTAAAAAATCACTGTATAGTGGAATTGAAGGGTATCAATAACGATTGTGTTAAAATACTTGGTGGTGGTGGTGAACTCTTTATTTCTCCCATAAACACAGGGGACCAGTCCCAGGACCGGTTGCGCTCGCTTAGAGGAGGTCGGCGGCGATCCCTTGGGATGTTGCGGCCTCCACCGCGCGCTGGATAAGCCGGCGTTGGTCTTCCGGCTCGGACGTACGCAGGAGGGACTCCCACGTCTCTGGGATGTTCAAGTTGTCTGCGTTGTAGTGTGTACATGTCCACACCATGTGTATGAGGGTGCCCGGAGCTGAGCAGTGTTTGCACCTGGGTGCTATCTGTTGTGGAAAGATTCTATTGTATAAAAGCGGGTGTGGAAAGCTGCCTGTTTGTAGTTTGCGCCATTGGACGGCCTCGCGTCTTGTTAGATCGCGGTGTGCGGGAGGATACGTGCATCTTCCGAGTCGGTATTACTGGAGGATGTCTGTGTACGTGGTGAGTATAAACGCGCGTGAGCTATTAGTGTCGGGGAAAGCGGGGAGGCGGGTCACTCTCTCGGCTCGGCAGCTAAGTTCTCGGGCGAGAGTGTGCGCCTCGGCGTTTCCTCTGAGTGACTTGTGGGCTGGAACACAAATGAGTAAGCGGGAGGAGGAAGAAGGTGGAGCAGAAAGAAGGATGTGTATGCGTGGCGAGAGATACGGCCGGCATCGTAGCTGCGGATCGCCTGTTGTGAGTCACTGATGACGACTCCGGTAATAGGGTCGGTTGGCGCTAGCGCAATGGCGACTTCCTCTGCTACGGTGACCGTTTCTGCGTTGCGAATGCTACAGGCTGTGTGCCAGCTGCGGTGAGGGGCGAGGGCTACCGCCACCATTGCTGGCTTCGAGTGGTGGTAACAAGCGTCGGTATACGTGACGTCCGGACGTCCGCTGAAGCGTTTCTCCAGTTTACGTGCACGGTCGGCCCGTCTCTCGGCGTGGTGTTCCGGGTGCATCCGTTTGGGAATGGGAGGAATGCAGAGGTTTGGCGATATTCCGGGGCAAGGTCAGCGTAACTGGGAGCCGCCCTCGTCGGTGATATTCCCACCTGCTGCAGTACCGCTCGGCCAGCGTGCGTGAGTGAGAGCCGCTCGTATTGGGCAGTGAGGGTAGCTTCGATTAATTCGTTCACGGTGTTGAAGATGCTGAGAGCCATAAGCTTGTGAGTGGCTGTGGACATAGGAAGACCCAGGGCCATCTTGTAAGCTTTGCGAAGTGACGCCTCCAGCCGTTCGCTTTCGGCACGAGTGAGACTGAGGTAGGGTGCTGAGTATGTGATGCGGGAGCAGATGAAGGCTTGAACGAGGCGCAGGAGGTTGGACTCTCGCATACCTCGGTGCTTGTTGGAAACTCGCTTAAGGCAAGACACTGGTTCTAAAATCAACTTTTTTTTGTTTATTAATGGATTATAATGAAAATCAGTGTGTATATGTGTTTTAGCTTCCTCTTCGCAAATATTCAATTAGTTCTGCAATATCTTAATTACTTTTTGAGTTACGAAGAAAATAATGAAGCCTAATTAGGTCATTTCTTACGACTCATTAAGGAACTTTCTAACACAAATTTTTTTGCGTAAGTGATATGGATTTGTAGCTAAAGACCTGCCATGCAAGATGATGCTATTTATATTTTTGTAAAGATAGATTATTGTATAAAACTAGTTTAGTTAGGTCAAGTACACTATTTACAAAGCCTAACGAGGTCACATTATCACTAATAATAAAATTTCGGGCCCATAGTGTTATACAAAAATAGCATCACCCTGCAGTTCACTTCTTTCTGAATTCAATGGTATAGAGTTTATAGAAATCCTTGAAGAATAATCTCATGAAAACAACCGTAAGGCTAGGCATGTAGACGAAAAATGCGAAGCTGAGAAAATTGCAGTTGAAGTTTTGACTCTCATTGCACAAAATTGAGTAAGGAATCCCATGCAATAATGTTCAGCAATATGAAGCATAGTTCTATCTGAACAAATTGAGACGAAAAATTCTGCAATCCATTCACAAGAACCTTTAAAAAATAATATAAAACTGAGAAATAATGTCTGCAATGTAAAATAAAGTTATAAAAGAATGAGTAGACTCCATAACGGACAACGGGAGGAGGCACCAAGGGTTGCACGTTCCGAAAGCAGATTTTGTTTGGCCCTGAAAAGGGCCTTTGCTCGTGTAGCACTTGAAAGGGGAGCCCCCTCACAGCTGTCCAGGACTTTAGTCCCCAGCTGTTCCAGTTTCCGCAGCTTCCGCACTTCGCCTGCGCGAAGGGGTCGTTGAGAGCTTTCATGTCCACTACAATGAACTGTGTCCCAGCGTTGCGCGTCTGGCCTCCTGTGGTGACGCCGAGAAGGTCGAATTTGCGCTGGGTCGCCGACTTTTCCGATAGCGCACGCTTGGGGGGGCCGCATGGGTCCCCCCTGGCTACGTGCCTGCAGAGCCGTATATGTAGATAGTTTGGTCAATGGGAGGTGCGGGCAGAGCCAGGGCGTGCGGCAGACTCAGAAAGAGGGCTTGGCATGCTCTCTTGACCAACCAGAAGCCGAAAAGAATCCCCTAGCGGTGGTAGCGAGAAACAGTTCTGATCAATTGTATATGTTCGTAAAAGGTTTTAATAAGTGTGTAAGAGTGAAGTGTAGTAACTCTTTGTGGTTGAAAATGGGGTTCACGTGTTTTTTTGATCATAATCATGCAGAGAGATGTAAGAAACGAATGCGCCGCGCAACTCCGTTTTGCGCGGACAGAGTGTGACCGCTCGGACGGCAGCTTCCCGGCCCTCGGCGCTTGGCGTACGGATTATGTCGATCGTATCGCTAGTCGCACTCTTCCACCATCATTTTGGATGAGCGTGATTGAAACATCACATGTACCACATTTTCAGCCACCGAGAGTTACTCCAATGCAGTTATCAGGTCATTGTTTCTCGCGACCACCGCCAGGGTATTATTTCCGGCTTCTGGATGGTCACATTCAAATTTCTGAAGATGCCCTGGAACACGCCCAGCTTGCTTTCGGCCAATGGCACCTCCTCATTTGTCTTCTATACTTCCCAACAAATGGCCAAACTCTCTACATATACGGCTCTGCGTGCCTGCACACAGGAACAATGAGCATGATATTTCACCTGCTCATTGCCCCAGTGCACATTGCAGTTTTTATGTTTAATCATATTTTAAACTTCACTATTCTCTGGCACCCTTCTGTAATTTTTAGTCATTGGATACCTGAGTGTTCCGCAGAGAAGTGTATGCAGACGAAAAGGTAAACAGCGCACAGTAAACGAGGACTAAAGAAAAGGGAAGTGCAAACAGGACAAGGGCTGATCAGTATCAACCAACAACTTACATCGCCACCCCTATTAAGTGTATGCACCGGAATATTTTGTGGGCCTGTCTGGACTTTTTTTGTTCACAGCCCATTATTATATTTTATGATTGTGTGTCTCCGTTGTTCACCATTAAAGTTTCCCTCTTTAAAGATTCAACGAATGAGATGTGGCAAAAAAGGTTGAATTTCTGTCTTCTAAGAAACTGAAAAATAGTAACTAAGATTGTGTTTGTGCAATTTTCCTCTCTTGTTTTCTTTTTTTTTTTTCATTTTGAACAGTTTGAGCAAAGAAAAACGCCCACTGAAAATTTTTGTGGGTATGCCCCGGCTCGTCTAAAACTTCATTCTGCTCTTTACCAGGCGGTCCATGCAAAAGGAGCGCCCCTGACGAACTGTTGGGGATTCATTGATGGCACGGCATGCGCCATCTGCCGCCCCTCAGAGTCCCAGGAGGAGTATTTCTCTGGGCACAAGTGCCACCATGTGGTAAAATACCAATCAGTTATGTGTGCAAACGGAATCATTTGCGAGCTTGACGGACCATACAAGGGACGTCGACATGACTCCGGTAAGTGTTGTTGCCCGAGACCAGCGATAAAAAGAGGGTACAGAGCATATCAGTGTCTCGAATGGGAAATTTGAGTCAGAAATAATTTCTTGAAAGGGTTGTGAAACATATGTAGAAAATTCTGAGCTATAGGCTTACTTGTAATCCTGATTGTCGTGGCGGTGCTACTATCGTATGGTGGCGCCACTAGCACTTTGCATGGCTATAAAAGAGAAGAGATGATAAAGATAAGGGCTTCTCCTTGGTACTGAAGGAGCAGTGTCACTTTGGCTGCTTCTGCTGTGGCAACAGTGGCGACAAGAAGGCGATAGCATGAGCCTCGTGGTGTTTCCCTCATTCCTGCCTGCTCCCGGAAAACCTTCTATTCTGTGGAAACAGTGGCAATGTGTGTTTAACAACTATTTGCTTGCTATGGGAGGCGACGCCCACTATCATGCTCGGCAGAAGGCCCTACTGCTGCACTGCCTCTGGGTTAAGGGCCAACGGATCTTCTACACTCTTTCGGAGACTCGCCCTCCGATACTGGGACTGCGTGAATCACCTGGGCCTGTTTGCTTGAAGCGCTAACCGCGGCTAAAGTCAGCCGCAGTACCTAGGAGAGGGACGTTGCCATGCCGACAATTATCGCTTTCATTTAGGCTTAGGAATGGCCAGAATCGAGAGACTATCTAAAAAATGCGGCCAGGTCATTGCTCATGCTTTGAGATTTAAGTAAGTAACGCAAAGCGAAAGCCTCTTCCGCCATTCGCTGACTTACGCGCCCGATATTGCAGCTACAACGACATATTAGTTGGAAAGCGAGAGGCGCTCACTCACCGGTGCATTGCCATGATTCCCCGCATCCCTACCGAGCCAGTCATGTGATTTTAAAAGCCCTCTCCTAGGTACTGCGGCTAACTTTAGCCGCGGTTAGCGCTTCGAGCAAACGGGCCCTGAAGTCCAAAAGACACCCACTGCACTGGACAAGTACGATATCGCTCTGGCAGTCCTGGGGAGCTACTTTGCGGCAACTTGAAACGTGTCTAACGCACGACATCGCTTCGGGCAGCGAGTGCAGCTACCTGGGGAATCCATTGACACATTTTTTGCTGAACTACGGGACCTGTCATCGACTGCGAGTTTGTAGCCATGGTGGACGACCTCATCCAGGACCAGCTAGTTGCAAAGACGTCGATCCACCAGCTACGAGAGCGGCTGCTCCTGGAGGGTACTTGTCTCACCCCGGACCTGGCATTGGTCATCGGTTGTTTGGTCGAAGAAACAATACGCTACTCCAAGGAACTTGTATCAGCTTCAGCAATGCAGAAGGTAGACGCTAAGCCTATACGGAGCGCCGATTAACCATGGGAAGGTGAGCCTCCGCCCCCTCTGGAAAGAAATTCTACCGTTCTAGGTCGTCGGGACATCTTGCGAATTTTGGTACATGCAAGACAAGAAGGAAAACGTGCACTGCATTTGGAAAATTCTGGCATTTTCATGCTGTCTGCATGAGTACCCGCCGTCCACATTAATGAAGTCCGCACCATCAGAGAAGTTGGCTGCTTGGATAGCTGCGAGGATGCCGTCCTCAGTATTCCACAGGTACACGAAAAGCAGTATCTCCATTTCTCTTCATGTCGAGGGAACGGTGTTATATATTTTGGTTTACACCGGGTCAGCAGTTTGGATAATCTCTGAAGATACATATTAGAAGAATTCTGATTCTTCGCTTCGGCTACAGGAATTGGCTGTTAATTTGTTTGATTTTTCGCAGCGGCATGTTGCAGTGACAGGTTGTTTTGTTGCCGTGGTTGGTTACAAGCAGTGAAACGTTGACGTGCATTTCTACATCCTATCGAAAGGCACAAACATACTTGGAATCGAGGCCATCACTTGTTCGCCCCTCAAAATCAATGGTCAGGCATTGAAGTGTTTCAACACTATGTGTGTGCTACTGCTCCATGGGAGAAACTTGGAATCAAGATTGTGGGACCTTTGTCATGTGCGCCAAATGATCACTGGTATGCCATTATGTTAACTGACGAATTCATTAAGTGTCCGGAGGTGTGCCTGATGAGTGCCGTCGGGAAGTATTGTTTCTTTTTTATGGCCGGTGTTTATTCATGAGGGCTACCCAGCCAAACTTGTCAGCGATTACAATCGTCAGTTCATGTCTGCCGAGTTTGAAGTATTCTTGAAAGATCGGGGAGTGAAGAACACCTTTTCCTCTGTGTATTATTCTCAAAGCAACGGCCAAATCGAGCATTTTAAACGTGTATTCGAGGACTTTGTGCAACTCAGTGCCCAGGAGCAACGGCCCCTGAAGGAAGCTGTGGTAGAGTACCTGGGTGTCTATCGATGCACTCCTCACACAGCCAATTGTGAGAAGCCAGCTTTCCTGCTTCACGGACACCGTCCCAAGACGAAACTGGCCATTGTCGGGGGACCATCCAGAGACTTCTTGAGGAACCTGGCAAGACGTCTTGCAAGCCTACGAGAGCATATGGCCCAGTACCAATGGAAGTCCAAAGCATACACGGACCCGCCGGGAAGCCAAGGTCAGCCAGTTCAAGCCAGGAGAGAAAGTTTGCATCAAGCTCCCAGTGCACATTCCAAAAGGCCGCACCAGCTACTGGGCTTTCCAAGAAGGGGCAGAAAGTGTCAATATGCAGCGGCAAAGATCCGCCAATGCAAGTGTTTATTTTTAGGCGGACGATTCTGATGCAAGACAAGCTTAATTCTGCGGTTCAAAAATTCACTAAAACCCCATATTTCTTTTACGTTTAGGGCCCCACAATAGAAAGTTCGCCCAAGCGGTGAGGTTGTTGTCATCGACACCATAACCACATTGTAAATTCCGATTTTGCGAAGTGTTTAAAAACAACACAAGGCTCATTGTGTAGTGTTCACTGGTGGTTGCAGGATTTTTCATTTACAGCCTTGATGAAACAAAAGGCAAAGGGCATCGACATCACGAGCGAGTAAAGCCATTGCAAAAGCTTGCACGACCATAAACGCGTTATGAAAGTGGAGTTACCTGGCAGTTACAAAATGTCCTGCAAACTCAACATTCTGAGGCTGTATCTTTGGTGTTAGCTTTGTTGAGGTTTCACTAATGCTCCTGCTTTCTGTTCCTTCAGCTGCCCTGTTATGGGGCACACCAATGAAACAATCGCCAGGAATTGCTAGAAACCGCCTGAAAAGTGGTTGCAGAAATAAAGAAGGGCTGAGAGACAATTCTTGCGAATCAATGAGGCGGCATTAGCCATGATCCTATGGCTTGCAGGGCGTGTTACATGAGAATGGCTATTACAATAGCATGACATCAACAAATTGAAATAAGCTGCTCATTTCACAAAAACAAATACAATGGATATTTGAGAACTATAAGGGCAGGCCTCAAGACCTGCCCTTATAGTTAAACTGCCTCTTGCTAGAACTGTAAAAGGCGGCAGAGTCCTCATTACGCACTGTGGCTTAGTCTCTTGCACCTCCTGGTCAATTGGGAAACAAATGAAAAAGGAAGGAAAAGAAAGACATGCAAATGTAGTAGCTTCCCTGCATTGCATGTGTGCACTTCTCTGCAGTGCGCAGCTGTATTGAAAAGAAGGAGACTCGAGGGGGCATACAACAACAGGATCTACAACACAGAGAAAATGCAGTTAACGTCTCCCAACTGCACTTTTGAAAAGCTGGTGAAGTTCCAAAAAGAATAGTCCCTTCGTTAAATTACCCGAGCACCAAGGAGCATGCTGAGAGTTTAGTTACAAGTGGTACTCATGATGTCTGCAGCAGTAACTTTTAAAGCGAAAATATAGACCGACACGCTGTTTACAAACAAGCCCGCCTTTGCCCACACCAGGTGTGGGCACTGCGTGTGAGCAGAAATCGAATTTGGGAGGAGTGAAGCGTCTGCTCATGGCGCTGTGCCGCCGACAGCGCCACCGCAGCTGCATGATGTCAGGGCCGCGTGTTGGTCTATAAAACAAATGGTACTTTGCATGTCTGTTTGTCAATGCCTCATTTTGGGTATTTAGTTAAACTTTCTTAGATTGCTAAGGTGAGCGCATGCAGTTCATACACATCCCCAGAGTGCTCCTTGGTGCTTGGGTAATTTGGCAAAAACAGTTGATTAGCGAGGGCATTATGACTAAATCAGCAGTGTCCATAATCCATATGTGGCTGGGTCATGAGCATAGGTCGGCATTTTAGAGCCCCTTCATTCACCATCACATTACGACCAAAATCACGTCTCCAAATTCATTCACATTCACGTCGCAAGGTACTCCGACCTCCCAAGTTCATAGCCCTTCACATCGCGGCGTTCAACCGTGCCAAAACTTCATCCCCTTCACATCACGGCTTTCAAACTCCGCCGAGAATTCATCCCCTTCACATCATGTCGTTGAACCGCACCAAGGATTCCTCCCCATCACATCACCGCCGCCTCCAAGTTCACGGAATCATTCACCATCACATCATCAATTCACGAAGTCATTCACCATCACCCCAAATTCATCGGAATTCACCATCGTGAATTCATCAAAATTCACCATCACATCATGAATTAATCCGAATTCACCATCACTTCACAAAGTCATCTGAATTCACCATCACTTCACGAAGTTATTCACAACACGAATTCACTGGAATTCACCATCACATCATGAATGGCACATGACTCACGAAGTCATTCAGGTTCATCCTGACTAAATTTGACTTTACGGCTGGTAGCCCTTCACGAGTTCGCAGTTCTTGCGGAATAGGACTGTGGCGCCTTTTTGTGTAAGCCACTTAAAACAAGGACCTGACTCGACAAAGGGCCACCGCGCTGAGGCGCGCACGGCTACGCAGCGAGGCTGATGCCCAAACCGCTAAAGTCAAATGGGTCCCTGTCGTTTGCGGTGAAGGATGAAAACGTAACACGTTTTCCGCCTATTCTGGATTCATAACCGTACTCACTATCACGTCGAGAATTAAGTTTACGGTATTACTTCCCATCACAAACTTATCAAGTTCACGAGCCACTCACATCACAGATTCATTGTGTTCACCAGCCATTCACCATCACGTCACGAGTTCATTGAGTCATTCACATCACAATGAATTCTTCACTTCATGAAGTCATTCACAATCACAACTCATCATGAGTTCATTCAAATTCACGAAGTCATTCACCATCACATCACGACTTCAATTACCATCACATCACGAATTCATTCAAATTCACGAAGTCATTCACCATCACATTACGAATTTATTCAAATTCACAAAGTCATTCACCACCACATCATGATTTTTTTCGATTTCAATAATTCATACAGGGCCATTCAGATTCACGCCGTGAATGTGAATGAAGGTGAATGAGCCAGTTCATGAATGAATTTGCCGAGGTATGGTCATGAGTGGTGGCTTGGAGGAGGAGTTTTAAAGCCTGTTTTTATCTGTGGAGCCCTCAGCATTATGAACACAATTCGCTGTATGGCGATGGGATAGAATTTATTCAAAGTGATGTTGACTTACCTTACAGGAACCTCATGGCATGTCTACACTTTATTTTTTACTCCGGGTAACTTTGTTAATTATTTGTATTGCCTGCAGAAATGCTCCACTTATTTGTGCTAAAACTGAATGTAAATTAATTGCAGAGGATTCACACTTAATCTCCTGCATCAATTCATTCCCCTGCAGGTATGCTGCGAGAGAGCCGGCTCTACGACAAATTGTTGCAGTTGGTGGATGGCCACTCATATGTGCTGTATGGTGACCCGGCCTATCCCTTGAGGCCACTTCTGCTCGAGCCTTATGGCTCAAAGGCGACCCCAGCACAGGTGGAATTTAACAAAGCGATGAGTACCGTAACGCAAGCCGTTGAATGGGGGTTCAACAAGGTTGTCGCTGAATTTGCCTTTGTTGATTTTAAAAAGAATCAAAAGATCCGCAAGCAAAAAGTGGCTCTCATGTACAGGGTGGCTGTCCTTCTGTCAAACTGCCACACCTGTATCTATGGAAGCCAGATCACTAGCTTTTTTTATCTGGAACCTCCGACACTGATAGAATATCTCCAGCCTATGTCTAGGTAATAGCTTTTTTTGTTTGATTTTATGTGGTATGAAAGGCTGGCAAATTGCCGATACTTAAAAATGACAGAGTGCCTTCTAAAAAAGCCTCAATCTCTTACAAGTACAGAACCCAGGGATCCTGGGTTCAATCCCCGCCCCTGCTCGTTTCGATCTGGATGAGCATCGTACCGGCGTGCGGTCGCGTATCACTACTGCGTGGTGCACGTTAAAGACCCCAGGTTAGCGGTTGTACCGCACTGGCTAAATTGCTCATCTACAGCTGAGACACCAGATGCCCACTGAGGCAGACTAACTTCCGGCTGTATAAACATACACGCAACAATTTGCTTTTTGCTTACAAGTGCACTGCCGTGAATAGTTGTGCATGTGACAACACCCAACTATACTTTGTTCACCCTTCAGCTGAGACTGCAGCCAAAGTGCAAGTGCGAGCTAGACCGCACTCCTAGCTTCGAGAGGTGCATTTCTAGCACGAGTGCTTTTTCTGCTTTAAGAACACTTCAAAGCAGCTGCCCCGAGCTTTCGTGTTTGTGGCATTAGCTGCAGTCTCAGCTTAATGGTAAACAGAGTATGGATGAAGCACTAGGCAATTTCAATGAACTATGATGTAAGTGGGATAGTGCGTGCCATTTTTACAGTAGCAAAATAGATGACAGAAATAGGTGTCTCGTTGCCAAGCTTTCCAAGTAGCAGCTGGTTTTCCTTCAAATCTGCTTTCACCTCGTTAGACTGTGCCATCCAACATGTTTATATTGTACAGCGTGTCTACCTGCCCTTAAGCATTGTACATATATATTTTCAGCAAAATCAAAAACTTGCAGACTATATCAATCTACTTTTTTTCTTCTTCTGATGTGTTCATGGTTAAAACAAGATTTGCCACTGCAAATGGTGTCCTTTATTACTGAAATGTTTTGCAGATCATATTCAATAAAATGTGTCATTTCCATTTATTGGAAGTAGAGCCACAAATCTTCCAACTCCTTTTGGCCTGAGCGAGCAGGAACTCGAACATGATCCGTCGCTGTTCGGAGAGCTTGCGCCTTTCCTCGGCTCTCGCCTGGGCTTCCTCGGCAAATCGTTCACGCTCGAACTCCAGCCGTTTTTCATCTAGAGCGAGTCTCCGCTCTTCTATATCGAGCTCCCTCTCTCGAATGGCTCGCTCCTGATGACTGCGCTGCTGCAAGGAGGCGGCCACGCCCCCACCGCGAGTTTTCTTCTTTCCTGCAGAAAATCATGTGCAATCAGGAAAAATGACAGCAGAGTGAAAACAGTTCTGATATGGTTCACCCGTACAACGATAAGCAACTGGTTGTTTCTAATTTCCTGATATGTTCTCATTAGAATTAAAGTTGAGGAAGAAAACAAGAAGGACGGACGACCACAAACTTCTATTGGAAGTTTGTGGTTGTCCGTCCTTCTCGTTTTCTTCAAGTTTAATTATCCTTACCAACCGGCTCGTTCTGTCCTTTCTGATAAGAGGTGCACCCCTGCTTTAAAAGTGCCTTCCACACATTTGAGCCCACATTTGTAGCTCTTGTTGTACCACCTTATTAAGATGAAACTGATTATTGCAAACCAAGCACCTCAAAAAGAATTAACTCACTCGGGTGGGCATTGTCAACAGCTGTAGTGAACATATTTAACCCAATCACTGGCAGCTAATGCCCCGCAGGGGGCACCTGTGAAAGCAGGTGTTTGGAGAGTGGCGTCTCCACGGACCCCGAGCCATGCGGGTTCGCCCGCCCACGTCTGGCTGTGCGTGGCTTTCCCGTGTCCGGGGAAAAGGGCATCCTGGTGGTTGAGCCGAGCCTGGGGTAGCTTTGGACCCTTCGGGGCCCCCCGGGCGAGGCAATACACCACTTCGGCCCCTGCTTCCCGTAGACGGGTGTCCTGGCTTGGCTCGACCAGGATGATTCAGTCAGTCGCCACTTCTACTATCCCCTCCCTTCTTTCACCCTTTATCTTCTGATCCTTTTCACTCTCCTTATTTCTCTTCTTTCCTTTTTCAACTCCTTTGGCGGCAAGGGCTAACCTTGGGTGGCGACAGATACTCTCGTCCGGAACCACACCTGGTTATAGTTTCTGGGTAGCGCTAATAGAGTAATGCTTCCAGCAAAGCCATATTTGTTATGGGGTGTTACCTATTCCCTCGTTGGGCTCCGTGGTGGGCGGCGCGCCATAGATTCCGAACACTCCTTGCCCTCTTATGGCGCCCCTCTCTTCCAAACCCTGTTCGGGGCACGCCCTTAAAGGCGCTGTCCTGAACACAAGACCATCGAAAAAGAATCTGAGATAGAAAGTTTTACGAAGTTTTTCGTTGTTCATTCTCTTGATGAACAGAAACCAGTGTCAAAGCTATCACCCCCGCAGGGGGCACCTGTGAAAGCAGGTGTTTGGAGAGTGGCGTCTCCACGGACCCCGAGCCATGCGGGTTCGCCCGCCCACGTCTGGCTGTGCGTGGCTTTCCCGTGTCTGGGGAAAAGGGCATCCTGGTGGTTGAGCCGAGCCTGGGGTAGGTTTGGACCCTTCGGGGCCCCCTGGGCGAGGCAATACACCACTTCGGCCCCCGCTTCTCATAGACGGGAGTCCTGGTATGGCCCGGCCAGGATGATTCAGTCTAGTCGCCACTTCTACTATCCCCTCTCTACTTTCACCCTTGTCTTCTCCTCCTTTTCACTCTTCTCATTTCTCTTCTTTCCTTTTTCAACTTCTCTGGTGGCAAGGGCTAACCTTGGGTGGCGACAGACCCCTTGTCCAGAACCACACTTGAGTATAGTTCCTGGGCAGTGCTAATAGCATAACGTTTCCAGCAAAGCCCTTTTTGTTATGGTGCGTTATCTATTCCCTAGTTGGGCTCCGTGGTGGGCGGCACACCACAGGTTCCGAACAAACTTCGCCTCTTATGGCAACCCCCCAAACCAAAACCCCCAGTTCTGGACGGGCCGCTAAGAGGCATCGTCCCGAACGAACTGTCATAGTAAAAGATAAAGATGATGAAACATTTTCCAGATTCATGGTGATTCACTCCAAGGTCCCTGACAAACCTCTCTCTAAGATGTCACCGTTTCTTGTAGCGAAGGTTCTTGACAGCCAGATTGGTGCTGATTACAAGGCAAAGAAACTGCATTCTGGTGATCTTCTTGTAGAAGTTGCCAAAAAGTCCCAGAGCATTACGCTTCTGAAATTGACATCCCTAGGTGACATACAGGTAACAGTGAGCACACATAAAACCCTCAACACCATTCGAGGGGTGATTTCAGAAGATGATCTTCTTTCCAGTAGTGAAAATGAGATCTTGGAAGGCCTGCGGGCATCTAGAGTAGTGGCGGTCAAACGCATTATGACGAGGCGTGACGGTGCAGAGGTGAGAACTAAACACCTTATCCTGACGTTCGAACGTCACACGCTTCCTGCACTCGTCAAAGCTGGCTACTTGAATTGTCGTGTCAGACCGTACGTCCCGAACCCACAGTGATGCTTCCGTTGCCAGCGTTTTGGTCACGGGTCGTGCAGCTGTTGGGGGAGGGAGACATGTGCAAAGTGTGGCAGCCACGACTATGTGGCCGACGTCTGTGAAGATCCAGTTGCCTGCGCGAACTGCAAGGGTTCTCACCCTGCTTACTCTCGGTCCTGCCCGCTGTGGCGACAAGAAAAGGAGATCCTTACCTTACGAGCCAGAGAGAACCTATCGTACCCTGAAGCAAAACAAAGGTTTTCCTTCATTTCTAAAGGTACCTACTCCGACGCGGTGCGCAGGGGCCCTGCACTATGTACGGAGTCCAGGGCTACTCAGTTCTCTCTTGAGGATTTGGCAGGCCCCTCTCAGGCTCCGAAACAACCTGCGGGGAAGCAGAGTGCCCCAGGTAACGCTGGGAGCACACAGACTCCCCAGTCGATTCAGGCACGACCTCCGGCTGACCGGCAGCCTCGTGCCAGTAGCTCTTCTCAAGGTGGAGAGCGAGGCCGTCGTTCCAATCCCTCGGAGGCGGCCCGCCTTGTTTCGGAGCAACGGGGCCCACCTGCTGCTCCATCAACGTCAAAAGACGAAAGTGTGAATGTGGGAGGGTCTCGACCTGGTACGTCGAAGACTTCTTCGGCAGGGTCTGGCCGTGGCCGGAAACTCGTGGTCCAGGTCTCCGACCACGTCGGAACTGGCAAACCTGCGTCCAAGGTTCAGGATGCAGAGGGAGCTGTTGACATTGCTGACTCTTCAGCTCCTTCCTCGGATCAGGAGGACATGGAATGGCAAACTGCTGAATCAAAACAAAAAGGAAAAAAGCCGGTGGTTCCTCCTTAGTGTGTAGCACATGTAGGATTGCTTTAATTCATTTATGAAATCTTTTATCCTTTAAAATGGGCTCTGTAATTCTTCAGTGGAACTGCTGTGGCTTATTCACTAACCTTGCAGATGTTGAGTTCCTTTTAGAAGAGTATAAGGCATCTGCCTTATGCTCGCAGGAAACACACTTAAATACATTTCACACTAACTTTCTGAGACGCTATAGTGTGTTTCGTAAAGACCGCCCTAGCATGTCGATTTCTGGTGGCGGCGTTGCGGTGGTGCTTCCAAAACATATTCCATGTGCAGAGGTTCCGCTTCAGACGCCACTCGAAGCTATCGCTGTTCGTCTCTTGTTGCATAAAGCCATAACTGTATGTTCAGTGTATTTTCCACCTTCTCTTTCTCTGAAGCGACAAGATCTCGACTCTCTTTTAAGCCAGCTTCCAGAGCCCTTTCTTTTACTCGGTGATTTTAACGCACATAGTACCCTCTGGGGAAGTGATCATACAGATACACGTGGAAAGATAATCGAATCCATTTTATTTTCACAGTCATTATGCATTTTTAATACTGGCCATCCTACATATTTTAGTCCTTCATCCTTGTCATCTACATGCATCGATCTTTCTATTGGCAGCGCAGATCTGCTACCCGATTTTTCATGGACTGTTGATCAGAATCCCCATGGAAGTGACCACTTCCCCATTATTTTAAG